CAAACACTAACAAATATCCATCTAAACTTTCACATTTATAATATTAATATGATAGTATTATATATAATATTAACACGCGTCGACCCTACGGGAGTAGGATAAGGAGATGATGATGATGATGATGATGAATATGATAGTATGATGACATTCCAGGGAAGAAACTGATATGTAAAAAATGGTTCAATCGTTTAGGAGGTTACAACTTTTATACATACACGCGAAAAACATTACTCTATTAGCTATTTTTGTTAGTTTTCCGATGGCTGATTCATTTTTTTTTACAAATCAAGCTCATTTCCGTGTTGAGCAGTGTTTTCCACATACCGTTACCTCTGATACTTACTCGGGATTTGTGCGTTCTGAACTGTCAAAATATTTGGAAATTTAATTCCTGATTCACACTTGGTCAGTACAGTTTGCCAGTAGCGCACTCCAGATTGTATGTCACTGGCGCCAGTTAGAGTTTTAAATAATTTAACGCCAGTCCAGTAATTGTGTACTGTGCAACTGGCCTAGTGTGAACCAGGTATAATACACATAATACCAACCAACAAAACTACCCAGTCTTTATATTTACAGATAGTGATAAACGCAGCGCTAGGGTTTGATAGTTATCTAGTGATGCGGCACGGTGTGGGGCACGATGTGGGGCACGGGGAGGGACACGACGTAGAGCACGATGTGGGACACGACGTGGGGCACAGTTCAGTGGGAGACACAGGCGTGCGCGCAGCCACCGTGCCCGGCAGTCGACTCGGTTGTTACTTCTGCAATGACGTCACCGCACCAGGCAACGTAAGATATACTATTTTTATTTATGACTAGCTGTTCCTGTGCGGCTTCATCTGATGGAAATTATAAAAACACTATTTAATTGTTTACATTGGTATAAATGTCAAAATTCGCATGTACAATTGCTGTTACCACGGCAATCTTGCTTCTTTGCTGCTATTAGCTTGTAGTTTTTTTTCCTCTCCCGCATTACGGAGTTTTCCAATTTATTTAAACCCTAAGTTTAATAGCGTTAATTAGTGCTAGGCTTTTAAAAAAAAGTTATTTAAAAATATAATGTGATTACTGATATCATACATAACAAAGTCTGTGTTTACGTTTATTACTATAGATATATATAAAATTATCAATATGACTTTTTTATATTCTAAATATATGCCAAATTTATAATATTAGCATGATTAGTAAGATAAGTGGTTGTGCAGACGTTCTCCGAGCGCACCCTGGACCAGCAGTGCACGGTGTCGCGGCCGGGCGCGGCTGCCGTCGCCGGCGCACTCGCTGTAGAGATGCTGGCAGCTCTGTTGCAACATCCTCTAGGGTTAGTGGCTATTTCAAGACAATACAATAGTTTAATGTATTATTTTTGTTCAATTTCATTGAAAATCCACATTGGAAGACTCTTAAACACCCACTAGGTTTTTATTTAGATAGACAAGAACGGTGAGCAGAGCAATTTTCTAATCGCAAATAAATGTAAGATTTAAATTGGAATAAGATTTAATTTATTTTACTTAGCAAATAATAGCAAAAGTGAGATATGAAGTAAAATTAAACCTTTTTTTTAATACCATAAAGGTCACTTTTATTTGCGCTTAAAATTTGCTTTACCACACGCTTCGTTTAGTGTCAATGGACCCTAAGGAACTGTAATAATGTCTTTTAGAAGTTTTAGAACTATTATTAACTAGCTTTCGCCCGCGACTCCGTCCGCGTGGAATTGAAAAGAAAAGCAGCCTGTATTCTTCCAGACTATCCACTACATCTATGTCAAATTCCTTCAAGATCCATTCAGCAGTTTAGGCTGCAAATTCTAAAAACATCCATCTATCTAAACTTTCACATTTATAATATTAATAAAGATTTTTTTTTCAGTGCCGAAGCACCAGCTGCATATAACACAGATGGTAAAGAAATAGATTCTGTCGATGGTATATTGGGCTCGGTGCCACATTCTATCCGTGGCTTCTTGTATTCATATCAGAGTGTGTTGCCAACCTGCCTCAAGTTCCAGCAATGCATCGCGTGCTCACATACAGTACTTAACGCTTACAAACATAAAGGAATGGAATTTTTATTAAAAGTATTCGAAAGCGGGAAATACTTGGAAAGGATCACCGGATTGGAAGAACTCCATTTAAGTGCTGAAATGAGTGATGTAAGTTTTTTTTAAACTAATTGCTAGTTCCATTTTGAGATATTTTAACCATACTATTTAAATTTTTATATAACATTTATAATTTTATGCATTAACAGTGGTAGAGCCCGCTTTAACATTTTTGCACTGCAGAGCCGGCTCGCCCGGTGTAATACCACGACCATACAGAAAACAGGCGTGAAGTGGAAGCAATTCTGCGTTTCGTCTGATGAGTGTAGTGCCTGAGGCCTAAATTGTCCCTTTCCCTTTCTTAAGAGGAAAGTGGATTCGACGGTGTAGGGGACGCATAGGGAGGGGAAAGGTCCTTTATGTGCGTCTCTTCCGTCAATGAAGGGTAGACAGCGGTCGCTTTCCATTTCGGTGAATTCAGGTGGTCGCTTGCTCGTTTGCCACCTTATATTATAAAAAAACATATATATGAAGTAAATAAGCACTCTCAACTCTAGCAAAGGTATAACTTCATTGTTTATATTTTTTTCTAGATGCTGGCAATTTCTGACGATGAGGACCAAGAAAATATCGAAATCGAATGATCTCAACATATTTAATAAAGCCTTTCATTGCATTTATGACGCAGCTATTAAAGGAACTAAATAACTGAGAAAAAGCCTAAGGTGAAGTTTAGAGCATTTCTGATTTAGGTATCTAAGCTTTCCATACTTGTTGCTATATAATCGAAAAAAGTTTGAAATATAAATAAAAAACATAACTAAAGGTATATGTGTTTGTGTAGCGCATTATAAATATAAAAATGTATTTTGAATGTATGTTAACTTTGTTCCTGTGATATGTGTAAAGTTGTATTTGAAATAATTTTTTCTTACATCTGCTATATTATTTAAGTTGATGTAATAAAATAAATTAATTTTCCCTGTCAGTAAAGTAAAAAAAAAAAATGTATTCGAACACTACATTTGATATAATATTTTAAGGGCGCATTCTAAGTGTTATTGCTGGCAATTGCTTCTTATTTGACAAAGCAATCTCTTTAATTGGTTTGGGTGGTTTTATTTTCCTTCCATGTCGACCGTCTTTCCTCTTCCATAGACCAGAGCGGGGACGGTTGCCCAGCCATCTGTTCCTTTGCGGGGAGCCTATTGGCGTATCACCATGGTCCACGTTTGATAAACGTCCTGGAATTTTACGATTATAGTTTAGACACTGACGAAATTTTATACTTATTAAAAATAATTGTATGCAGTAATAATAAAAGAAATACAAATTGCACAAAACATAACTAACATAAGGAACGCTTCGATTCACTACATGTATCTAAAATAGCTAAACAGATCTTGATAAAATTTGGTTCATGTGTATAATCATACAAATAGGATGCTTATGAAGTTTATTTTTAATTCTGAGCATACAAAGTCGCAGGCAAAAGATAACAATAACTGACTATGTGGAGACTCAAGGATTAGAAGTAAGACATAAATATGTACAAATTACATCTACTTTAAGAGATCTTATAATTTTTGTAACAATTTTGCTCACCAACAACAGCCATACAATTTTGATCAAAACTGAACAATCTCTTGGATGGCATCTGAACAATGATACGGTCATCTTGCTTTCTCAATATAGTTCCAAATGTTCCTGCTGCATGGATATATAGACCTCCCATACCTGGAAACATAAAAATATATGAATATTCTGACATTTTCTTACACAAGTATACATATCTACAGTAAATTTCTCTTTAAATTATACGATTGTTGACTTTAAATCTATTAAGGGAGCCTCTATATCTTTTTAAGTTGCTCTAAAGCTCCCGTTTCAAGGAGGCCTATAATAGCCAAAGAAGTTGTAATCTTAAAAAGTTTCTATGAATAGCAAGCTAAACAAACTTTGCTCCGAATCTGTCTATAATGCTCTATTATAACAAGCACGCAGAAATACCTGGTTCCTTTTCAATGCAATGCACTTGAGTGCCAGTTGGCAACGCCCCAAGTGGATATGCATCACCATCATTAGCTTTAACTGTAACAAAACATTAAATAAATCAAAAAACATTCTTTACTACCCCAAAAACAGTTAAATAGTATTTAACTCCGGCCACTGCAAATTGGTTATGGACAACACCATATGTGAGAAAATGTATCACACTTTTCAATATAAGTATTAATTGTTACTCTGGTCAAGATTGTATATGATAAGCCTATGCAAAGTATTGTTTTAAAAATACACCCTAGCATATATTACTACAGTTTTTTACTAGCCTCGGAGTAAATAGGCTTATGTGAGACTGTAATTTGTAGAGCTCCGTGCTCCTTTGTCCAATGTGGGCACCTTACCTGGTATTCTTGGTAGATGACATGAAGTCTTTATAATATCACCTGCCTTCATCTTCTCTGTAGCAAGGATGTATTTGAGCTTATCTCCAACCGCTACTAGAGCTATATGGGCAGTTCTGCATCCATCTTCAATTACCTGAAAGTTAACTTTGTGCTGACTTGAACTATTACATCCCTACGAAGATTGTTAGACACTAAGTTAAACATTGTTTTTAACTGTGACCACCGCTGATTGATATCATTATGTTGGTACTGCATTCGCTTACTGTGTACTTTATTATTTATCAAGATCATATTTCACAAGCCGACACATAATAATGTTTCAATAGACATCATTTGTCAAAAATTCACTCAGGGCTTGTTTTGACAAAGCAGAGGTCATGGTAGAAAGGGGTTGACATATTTAAGATGTATTTGAAACACTGCCTAGGCTTTTATGGTAAGGACTATAGTTTTTTTTGTTATATCATGCAATAGGGGATAAATCTCTTAAAACAATATTTTAAGCACTGTATATAAAGTTTGTAACATGAAGTTACATAGGTTTTATTCACACCGTTTAAACTTACTATTAAGTATTTAAAAAAATTATGTTAAAATCCTAGTAAAGGGTAATTTAAGTTGTTTACTTGTATGACTTTCTCTTCCAGTGGCGGTCCCTCAGTAGGCCCCTTTCTGTACCAATCTATCCAATGATATTTATGTTTTATACCTCCTCCTATACCTTTTGCAACTACTCTTCCTGAAACAAGGCATTAGAAGATTAAAAAAAAGATATTTGTTTTGTATGTATTTCAAATAAATAAAGCATATAAAAATACCTGTCACTGGATCTCTTCCTGCTAGATTTGTAACATTTAAAGGTTTAACAGTATATTCCTCAGGAAAATGAACTATTCTTCTGTAACTCTTACCAAAACCAGGTTTTGGTTTTTCGACATTAGGTCTACTTGCAAAATTATAACAAGATGTTTGTATTGTTCTTCTTGCTATTGAGGTGGACGTGAGCGTTAAGCCTGTAAATAGCCTATTTAGTGCCATTGTTTTTCTTTACAATTCATACATTTATTTTTCGTATTTTAATAATATTGAAATTATTTATCAAAATCCTAACCTATAATTTGCTATAAGTTATGCAAATGTCAAATGAGTATTTTTTTTGTAATTGCTCTCTTTGGTATTGTCTGAATCTATGGTCATAATTATTATTGCTAGGATTAACTTAAAAAATCGGTGTAGGCCATTCACTAAATTAATTTAATAAAATCTTTATTTAAAATGTTCTAGTAACATTAGATATTTAAATACTAAAACTGTAGCTGTTTAAGTAATAACATTGATGTAATTATTAATAGTTGGCAGAAATTGGTGTTATCGTTGCCTCAAACTTTTTTTTAAATGACAACCGGCGACCCCTAGCGGTAGTTTTCTGCTAAAAATACATCGTGAAGTGGCGTGTGTTGTTTGGACTATCGTGAGTCGTAAATAAAAATGCTTGAAATATGTTGATATTTCACGTTATAAGTGGTCTTCATGTATAGTAATACAGAAATACATCAATGGACCTTAAACGGATGACGAAAACTTAATGTGAGAGGTGATTTACTTTTGGTATTTGTCATATGCTGCACGCCTTGGGGTCTGGACGAGGACAAAAAATAATCACTTATTCTGATCCTGAATTGATAATGCTGTAAGCTATATTTAAATACTATGCCTGTCAATTACAATACACGGTGTAATAATTGTGTTCTTTAGCTACAAAATATGCCGTTTCCCAGTTTTTATTACAACATATATTACACATTACTGTTTCTTCAAATAACATTTGAAATTTTTACCATTTTGTTTTATTTGCAATAACAGAGTCCTAAACTCCAATTGTGCAAATGTGCTGTGCTCCAAATGTGGTAATTAATTGTACAAATGCATTAAATACAGCAATATTTTTGTTACAGGTATAGACACAACCAGTCTTCCGGCACGTATTTACGCTTTCCCGAAACAATGAGGTGCCTTACAAGTGGATATTTTTTTTAAATAATACGATATATTTGTAATGATGGTTGAAAGACGCGATTCAGAATAAAGTCAAAATGAGTCACAATCTGGCAGGAATGCCATCTTACAGGATGTCAGGGCCAGGACTGGGGCCTTCGGATTTCAAGCCACCTATGGACACCCCTACCCCACCAGCTCCAGCACCAAGCAATCCGAAAAAGAGGAGAAAAACATCAAATGCAAATAATGCTCTAACTCCTCAACCACCACCTACCGCCCAAGACTTATTACCACCACCACTAACTGGATATGGGGATACTATTGTGGCATCAAATCCTTTTGACGACTCCCCATCAACAGTCTCACACAATGGCCCAATGATGAGTCAAAATGGTCCTATGATGAGCCAAAATGGACCAATGGGTATGATGGGTCCCATGCACAATATGGGTGGTCCTCCTATGAGACACATGAGTCCCCTTCCACATAACATGAGCCCTATGAACCAGCAGATGCCTCCTAGAGGAGGAATTAGTCCTATGGGTAATATGAGCCCTATGGGGCATATGGGTGGTATGTCTCCTATGGGAGGGCCAAATATGGGAATGAGCAATCATAGCATGGGCCCAGGTATGGGACCATCAAGATCAATGGGAAGTCCAATGAGTCCTATGAATTCTATGCCAATGGGTTCTCCTATGTCATCAGGTCCAATGGGAAGCCCTATGAATATGGGTTCTATGGCCGGCAGTCACATGGGTAACAGCCCTATGGGACCACCAATGCATAGTCCACTTGGTGCTGGGTCAATGAATGGACCAATGGGCGGGGGAGGGCCTGGTATGAATGTTGCAAGAATGAATGGCCCAATGGGACCTAACTGCTCAAATGGTTCCATGGGACCTACCAATTCTATAATGTCACCAAGTCCAATGCAATCTGGAGGAATGGGACCCACACACTGTGGTCCTATGAGACATGGCAGTCCAATGGGGTCTGGAATGGGAGGTGGACCGATGGGTAACAATGGACCCATGACATCAATGGGTCCCGGCCCTCCATATTCTAATAGCCACATGGGTCATGGAGGCCCAATGAATATGGGAAATAGTGGATCTATGGGTATGGGTCCGGGTCCAGGTAATATGGGCAATTGTGGACCTTTAGGTGGTATGAGTGGGATGTCTATGGGTGGTCCTGGAGGGCAAGGTGTAGGACCTATGGGCCAAAATATGGGTATGTTTGGACCGAAACCTATGCCAGTGAGTGCAGGAAAAGTATATCCCCCTGACCAACCAATGGTGTTTAACCCTCAGAACCCAAATGCACCACCAATATATCCATGTGGAGTTTGTCATAAAGAGGTGCATGATAACGATCAAGCAATATTATGTGAATCAGGATGCAACTTTTGGTTTCACAGGTGAGACGTCTTATATTTTCTTTCTTATATGAGACCACTAAATAAAGAAATATTTCTAAAATGTGGAAGACCCTTCTTCAATTAGTATTAAATATTTTTTTAATTACTATTCTCTATAGAGGTAAATAGTATGATGACACGCTATTGATATAATAAATACTTTAGTTTAGAACGTTAAAAATCTAATAATCAAAATTAAAATATCTTAGAAATAGGAACCTCTAGCCCAGAGGTGGTGAACCTTTCGGTCAATGTTCCATCTTTCTAAACAAATGATTAATCCTCTCATAGATGTCCATCACACCTTATGTTGTTACTTAATATTTATTATATAGTGCATAATCAATTTTGTAATCCCGAAATATTGTGTTGCATTCTAATAATTTGCCACCTCTGCTCTAAACCTTCTGCGAGTATTGCATTCTACATGTTTAATCTATCAATGCTAGCCAAACTGGATATTGTTAAAAAGTATAAAAACAGTACAAACAGTGCAGATTTGACTCTTATGAATACTATTATCATTTCCAGAGGTTGTACGGGCTTAACGGAGCCAGCGTTCCAGCTGTTAACAGCAGAAGTGTACGCGGAGTGGGTATGTGACAAGTGCCTGCATTCAAAAAACATACCGTTGGTAAAATTTAAGCCATAGCGATTTGCCAACTTGAACCCACTAGCGTTCCTGCCACTTATATGAGCAAGTGCTCACATCATCACAAGGGACTATTTTTACTTTTTGACAAATTACTTTTACGGAATTATTTTCGATATTCGTTTAGTGCTTTTGTCTGTATCTGATGATTGTCACATAAGAGGTTACTGTTTTTCACTCACAGTGCGGATAAGGGGTAATGCTTGCTTTGATTTTCACTTGAGATGACACTACTGAATTATACACAACAATTTCAAGCATGATTTAATGTAATAAGTTTAAAATAGTAACAGCTTAAGGAAGATAAAGGTAATCCCCGCTCTAATGTGTGAGTGAGACAGCAATTGTCTTCCAAAAATGTGGTAGAAAGTGCCTCTTTGTGTTGTTGGATGATCAGTTACTTATTTCTGGTAACATTCAATTAATATGGTTTTCGATTAAAATATTGAATGAAACAATATGCAGACAGTCTTTAAAAACTAGTCTGTTACTTTTATTTTCATTATTTATTTATTATTAATCAATTGAATCGTAAGTTATGCCAAGTGAAGTATAACCTTATGCCATTAGATTAAGGTTGACATTTGTTTAATAAACTGTCTAGTGTTGCTAGTTGAAAAAAACACAGACTTTTTTAGAAGTCTAATGCAAAGAGATTTTAAAGTATTTGACAATGTAATGCCCATGTATTTTTTTATTTTCGTGCCGATTTTTGTTTTTTTTCTGTCGTGTTTTTGTGTCATACATATCTGTTGAAGCAATTTTTATGGTATTTCCGTAAGATGAAAATATTAGCAACGAAACAAAGCAATATATAATGTAGCTTTTTCTATTTTTAGCATGTTGTGTGTTGCTTTATCTTTTATTTGTGCATACTGTAAATATCTGTAAGTCTTAAAATTTCCGCCTTAAGGTAAAAATATGAAAAATGTAAATTTATTGATTAATTTACAAAAATGTAGGTTTTTTTCAATTAAAATTCATACAATATTTTGAGAATGATCATAATTTAAGTATGAAATGACGATAAATTAGTTTATGTATTTAATTTTTTTTTATCTTAAGGACAAAAATAATGTGATTATCATTTGAATTTTAAATGAATTAAATGCAAATACGAAGATATTGTGCACATATTTAAGCAAAAATTATGAATTGTATCTTATAATTTGTAATTTCGAAAAAAGTCCTTATCAATATATTCTGTCAGGAAAATGTTTACTTCTTGAATATATCGATGTATTATAGTTAAAAGTAAATGAACTAAAAATAGAGATAAAAGTTCATTGCACTGAAATAGATTGAGAATTAATTTAATAGTCACGAAGCGAAGTACAGTCGAGGACATTCGCAGTGTTCCACTTCAGAAAAATTACCTTGTTTCTTGCAGCGCGTCAAATTCCGCATCTGTTTACAATTAAGTAGGAAAGAGTTGTATAAACGACGGGAATATAAAAAAAACATAACCTCAGACTCACATTTTTTAGTACGGCACATTTAAAAGTGTATAGAATGTTGAAACAATTGTGGCTTTAAAGGTGGAACACGCCCGATTGTCCATATACTCTGTTAAACCAAGAACAAAATCTTTTAAACAAACGAGTGTAGTACCTACCTATCAAAAAAGATAAAAAACAGCAGATTTACTAAACTAATGCAATGTATGTTCAGGATCAAATAAGCACAAAAATCATGGGTTGCTTTATCTATTCAATTAAAATAAATTAAATATTGACTAACCGATTTATGTGCACAAAATCTTCGTGAAATTTGCTCAAATTATCTGATAAAATGTTTGCGATACGTCGTGAGATCGTTCGCTATAATCAGTTATAATGTACTTATGTTTTGGTGCCCCAGTTTGCGTCTAATGAAAGTGTTATCGGTTAAATGTAAATAAGAACGAATCCATACGCTTTGCTAACTATAAGAGTGTAACGGTGTTTGTCAATTTTTCTAACATAAACGTGTATAGGCTTAATTGTAAATATTCGTATAGATCTTAGAATAATTGAGACTTGTTGTAATGATAACTATCGTTTTAAATATTTACATCCGAATCAGAACAAAAGCAATCGTAAATATAAAAAAAAACAATATTTTTTCTCTATCGTGACAGATATCGGTAGGCAACTTCTGCATTTTCTGAACGCGCAAAATAATTTTATTATTCACCCAATAACATTGTTGTTATTTGGTAATTGAAAACATAAATTATTCTTCAATTTACCTTGTTTAATATCCGTGAATTTTCACTGCCTTAACATTTCTATAGAAACTCAGCTGTCTCTATTGTATCTAAATAATAGAGAAAATAGTAATTTTGCTTGGAAATTCACGGTAAAATTGTCTTAAGACATTGGTACATTACGGTTGTGACATCTTGCGAAGTTAACATAAATGTGTGTTTTGGTTGTAGTCACACAAGAAAAACACAAATATCACATTGTTAGAGGCTTTTAAATTTCATTGATGAACATTTTGATGATTTTAATTTCCAAAGTTACATCAAGATAAACACTGCCCTGTTATAAGATTTTAGCCTAAATTCATAATAAATGATTGCGTAGAGTGACATCTTAACATATTTCATTTTCTACAAATCCAGAATGGGCATCTAAGTCCTAATCATCAGCTCATTATACGCCCTAAATAAGGTGCTCGGAGTCTACCCTAAGTCTTGAGCTAAAGCTAAATTTTCTCTGTCTATAGAAAGAATATGTTGGACCATTGTTCAAACTACCTACCGAAAATGTCATCTGGCTTTATCTCACTCACGCCAAAAAATACGTGTTTTTGTACGTCAATGTTTTTGACCGTGCGATCTAACGGTTGTTTTAATGTGTTTGATATCTTGTAGACACTATTTCTATATTGAGATTTTATAAATAGCAGTATAAAGTGCCTGTAAGATTAGCAATAAGAATAATAGGTCTATATTAAGTCAGCGTTGTAATTACGTGTAGATATGAACAAATATTAAATGTTGCACAATATTATATAACGGACAGTTTATGGTTAAAATTTGTCTATTCCCATATTGTCACCGAATATTTGAGAAAATGTTTCCCGTCCCATTCATAAGACCAGTGTAAATCTATTCTTAAAAAAAGTTTTTGTGTCATTTTTAAATGTGTTTGTTTTAAATTGTAATGATTATATAATTTTATAACTATGAATGTAAAATGAATTAACTAGTGCCTAATCTATTTCTTTTTATTTACGATTTTGAACACCTTTTTTACCGAATGTATTGATAATTTGTTTTTTTGTCATTTTAAAGTCAATACATTTTTTTTGTCAACTTAAAAAAAGTACTTGTGTGAATATGAATTTGATAAATGCATACTCTTAAAATTATTTAAGGCAATAAGAAATACTTTTTTTGTATTTCAGCACCAATGTGCAGAATCAAATTATCTTATTAAATTAGCTGACGAGAGAAATATAATTAATATTGTGTAAATATATTTATAATGGAGCTACATATAAATGAAACATAATTGTACAGTACGCATGCAATTGAAGGAGATCATGCGGCCATTGTTGTAATTATAGCCGAATTGGAGTGTCAAGTTTCATCACAATCAATATATCGACGTCGACTGAGCATTATTTAACTTTGTTACAACTACATTTGTCTTGCAAATTGTTAAAAACATGAAATGAAATGACATCGGTGTGGTCTTAAATTTGTGCATAGTTTATTTTGTATTACCTAATGTGAATAACAAGCAATAATAAAATTGTTATTGAGACATTTTATTTCTAACCTTTATTCACTGTTTATCCTATCCAAATTGTATTGGGCACATTAGTGTCTACATTTTGAGTATAATTTCATCAAGAAACTCGATAATTTTGTCTCGAAAAATTAACCACTATGTTAGGATTAGGCAACCCTGATACGTATTTGGTAACGTTTTATAAAACAGAATTTTATCAGGAAACCAGATTAGCGTAGGCCCAGACCTTCGCATTTTAGACTGTGAGGAATGACACATAAATTAGCTGCTTAGTTTAAGGTTTATGGAAACAAATCTGTAACTGCGATACCGCGAGCGTACCCAACTGTACATCAATGTATGGTTTCTGTAAAATGAATGTTCACTGAATAGAGTATCGTTTTATTGACTGTAACGTCATAATGGCATACAATTTACACTTCTACTACAATGGAATAGCATTTAAAATACATAGATCACTTACAAATTGCACAATAACACATAATATTATTCCTAGACGAACTACATAAAAAGTAGCAAAAATTGTTAAACAAAAACACTCAGTCGTTTTGATATGGGCATAATGTAAAAAATTTTGTACTTTTTTCATCTAAATTTAGTTATTCTTTTGAGATAATTTCATCGTAATATCACATTTTTAACATCCTTATGCGGCATTTAATAATTACATGAGATAAAATAACAGCTGCAGTGTCAATTGTTAAAATAGGAAGGTTTCTTACTACAATATTCCAATATACTTAATATCTATTCAATAAAAACAACTATGCTTTTAAACTAATTAAAAAAGTCTGAGTTCCTTAAGTCAAGAAACTATTCGGTGCCACCAAAGTAAATAAACTTAAGTTCAGCTATTTTTTAATTAGTTAAATAAAATGTCTTGTGTTTTAATATTTTAAAAATATACTTTTTTATCCTAATATTAAAATACTGTTGATCATTACCTCCATTGAGATGAAATTAAGACTATCAACAAAGAAATATAAAACATTCATTTATAAAAACCTTAAACAACATTGCAGTTTACAAAAGTAAAAAAAAAAACATTATTAATGTACTGTTTTATATATGAAACTAATAAAAACCAAAAATATTTAAATACTGTTGCATGACTGCTGTTGGTAACATATTTCTTTTTCAAGGCAAATATTATAAAACCTAAATTATTTCATTTCTTAGGCTAGTAAAATAATAAAAATTGTATAAGGCCCTATTCAATCTATGGAAACCATAAGTGTTGAATAACTACATGAATTACAGCATTATTATTTGCAGTATTAAAGTACCATGCCTAATTCATTACTAACATAATTTTATGGTAATGTTCTATATTCCACTTATGGCCGTATACTGAAACATAAATATGAGCATGCTTATTCTCCAAAATCCATTTTAATTCTGACTATCACAATTAAAGCTGCACTTACAAAGCAAAGTATTTAGTGTTTGTTTCAGTATCCAGCATTAGACCTAAATTTTATCTAAAGCACTAGTCATTTCTATAATACAATTTAGGTATACGAGTTTATAGTACATATTGTTTCAAAAGCTATAAATTTTATGTATTAAGCCATTAAAAATAAGTTAGTAATCACAGACTTAACTTTTCTGTTACTTTATATCCCTTTCTTGTATACTTATCTCGGCTAAAATTAATTCTGTACATTTTTTCTGTCCCCTACCTTTGCCTATTTGCTATTTTGTGCTATTTTTAACTAAATATAAGGAATGTAAAATGCCATATCTAACCATAATCAGTTCCATATGATGTTAAGCCTTTATTTTGTATTGCGAATGACACGGCCGCATCTAAGAAGTCTAGTTGGTTGTCAAAATCACTATCATTGGACCTAATATTATGATAATCTATGTTGGCAGCTTGGAGATTTTCAGTCTCATTAAAATACTGGTACTGTGAACTTGCATCTGGGAGTAACGCTAATTGAGTTAGATTATTGACATTTTTTCTCATTGTTTCATCTGAGTAAGACCATGTCATGTCTAAGTTACTTGAGTTACTATCTATTTGGTCATCTGTAGTGAAGGTTTCATGTGTAATGTTATCATCTGATGGTATCGGACTACTTGGTGGGGTCATACATTCACTCTTCTGGTTCAACATTTCACTTTGATCCGATTCACTGTTTTTTGAACCACTAGATGTTGAAGTGTTTTGTAGTCCATGAGCCGATATTGCCATTAAAATACCCTCATTTTCAACTGTATTGTCACCTGGTAAATTATTTATGAATTCAGCGACATCCAACGCAAGGAATCTGTTATTGTCCATCTCAGCTTGCAATGGTGCTACAAGCCAAGAATCTAAGACACGGTTGATTGTATTGTCCACAAAACCTTTGGCCATCTGAAAAATTGATAAATAACAAATGAATACTTTAACAACCATGTATTTAGGAGAATAAATTAAAATAGGAACTTTGTTTAATATTACAAAATATATCTTGGATATTGCACTTGTAGCTATTTTAATCATAAATTAATATTAATAGCTGCAGTATTGGTTACATGCACTAGTAAAATAATCATTGGAGCTTCTTTTACTTTTAAAATAAACTATTTACATACCTGTCTTGCTTGCCATCTTGCTATGCACTGATCTTCTGTGTAGCTCTGTGACAAAATCATTGACATTGGTAAAGCTGAATATGTTTTATCACTTGCATTCCTAGAACTACTGCTGGACCCTCGACTGTAAGAACTTACGTATATAGGATACTCCAGCTTGTTGGATGTGTTCGTGTTCGGTAAACTTTTATCGTTGTCTGTTATAACAGAATCTAATGTATTAAAGTCCTGCTTCAACAAGTAATCCCCGAGGATTTCTAAATTCTGTTCAGTATTCCCAACTAGATCTGCTGAAACATTACTCGACGATGTACCGGCTTGCACCAAATCATCGGATCTTGTAATATTCTCGGAAGTCTCGTTTCTCAAATGATATTTTCCTTTAACTTGCCACGCAAAACGAGCCTTTTTAAGTGGGCGTTCAGATTCCATTGTTTGGTCGCCATTTTCCTGTCGCTTACACGGAGACTTTCCAGCACTTGTTGGAATATTCATATTTTAAGAACTAAAATTCACTTTTTGAAACTGTCATTAGTATACAAACATTGACATAGTTAATTACTCCAAACATATGATTCATTTGACAAGTGCTTAATTAAAAACAAGCAATATACACTCCTGAACGATGGTGTAATATATCAGAATATCCAGTTTATTCTATGTATTTTGCTGGTTATAACATTATTTTCGTTTAGTATTCAATAAATACATAATGAAGAAAACACAAGAATTGTTTCTTTATGTTACTTAAGTGTAACTTTGCAGTGGTGTAACTTACAATTTTTCTCAGTAAAATATTTTATAGTCTGTGGAGGTCGTCAATTGTTCTTTCTTAAGTTACATTGTCTATGCCTGGCTATGTTATTAATCCGAGAGATCTTTAATCTCACCTTAATTTCAAACTAATTAATAAAAAAAACTTGTAACTATTTTGCTAGGTAAAGGCGGTCGTATACTACAATATTATTTTTTTGTTTATCTCCATTCTAATCTAAGTCGACAGATAAAAAATTGTTACATTCTTAGCTATTGTAACAACATAGCAGGTTTTAAAGGATCAAGATTTCTTAAAAATCATTTACTGGTCAATACCAAACCCAATGGTTAAAGTAGAAATTATCGGATATCTTTTGAATTAGTCTACATTATAAAAAAAAATAGCAACCACTATTCTAGTTATTCCAGTTGCTCCTCAGCCTACATCTTTAATTATATTTTAGGGACCCTGCATTTTGTCATGAATTGATAATGCCCATTACTTTTAACGTCACTATACTAAAGAAGCATACCAATCCCTAACACGATTAATTCAAGACCTACGACGGAAACTTTAGTTGAGTTTGTTAGGTGCCCTAAATAATTTTGCTGCAAGGGTTAAAATGAATAAGGTCAATTAATACAGGTCAAGGTCAAAGTCACTAACAAAAGTGTTTAGACTTCCTGAAAAATCTCTTAATAAAGGACAAATCTTATCATTAAACAGCCATAGTTAATTCACTCGATTAAATGGCGAGAAATTCTAAGAAAAATATTAATGTAAGAATGCGTAACCTCGTTATTGTATTTAAAAGAAAGTCATTCGAAATTGGTCATTATAACGTGTCGTTAGAGGTTAGGACTATTTAAGGCTTAATGATCTCAGAGAGGGAGTGTTGATTGTTCCCGGTGTTGTTAATGCGATGATTGGGCCACGGCCAGTCGCTCCCTACTCGTCCAGTCTCGTTGCCGAATTGTCAAATGACATTTACACTTTAGTGCCCGAAAACCAGCGCTTACTATATTAAAATTACGCTCCAGGCTGCCACAATGAAGGTAATTCAATTACATTTTTATTATTTGATAGTAGTTTTTAAATTAAATAAATGAATAAATTCAACGAATCTTATCATTCATATCGTTGACGCTACTACGAATTTGCTAAGAATGTATGAAGATTTATGACATCACTAATTGAGGATTAAACGTTCATTCAAATATTGTTTTTTTTTTGTCTTAACTTTTTATTGTTTTATTTAAATGTTTTGCTAGTTATTACGAAAACAATAATTAATTCGTCTATTTTTTAATCTACCCTCAGTTATAAAAAAGGTAAATTTGACTTTTTATTTACTGTTAGCTGTTAGCTCGTATACTTCGTCCGCGTGAAATTAAAAATTAATAAAATGTCTAGTTTCTCACAGATAAATTATCTTTCTAACGATGAATTTTTGAAATCAATAAATCAGTAGTTTTTGAGTTATGTAAATACATACAAAAATACAGATTTTTCCTCTTTATAACATTAGCATAGATTTACGTATAAGGTGAGTTGCAATTTAAACGTAAAAATCAACAGACGAACTCATACAAGAAAACATGTATTTCGAAATAAAATTATTCACATTTCTTTAAAATACATCACTGACTAAGAAAATGAGAAATTAGTAAACAAATATCTGGTAAGAGATAAACTTCTTGGAATCACAATAATGTATATCTTAGGCACGATTAGTAAACTTAGAAGAAACACTACAGATTTTGTTTTTTCATAATTTAGTAGTAGGTGGTTCGATTTTGTTTAGGGTATCCCACTAACGAACATTATCTTTTTAATTCCAGTTTATTGTGCCATTTTGTCTTTTGACATGTCTCGCCTTGGTGCATGGAGCTCCATCAATGACAGATGCACAATTAGAACAGACGCTAGCTGACAGAAATACTATGCAGAGACATTTGAAATGCGCGCTGGGGGAGGGGCCATGCGACCCCGTTGGTGTGAGACTTAGAAGTAAGTAATCTATATCTATACTTCTAAACACACATTACTTTGTGGCGTAGGATGCCAGCAATCACAGCATATTTTTATACAATTCTTTCTTTAATAAAAAGCCCTATACTTACGACACGCTATTAAACTTATGGGGGCAAATAAATTCGAAAATAATTTTCCTGTGGGAAAGAGACCATAAACTACAAGCTGCCTACATTAAGTTAGGTTATTATGATAACAGTAATTTTAAAATTCGCAATTGAGAATTTGACAAATTTAGACAATAAAATAAAATTTTAATAATTTTATGCGGATATAGCCACACGGGAACAGCTAGTTTTTTTTTTATTTATTTATTTTTTAGGGGGCTTTGTCGCAAAGCGACGATAACGCCCCATAAATAGCTAGTTATAGTCATACAGCGTAACTTTGAAGGTTAAGACTATGGATATTCTTTCCATTGTAACCGTATGAAGCCAAAGGGACTTGATGTGCGTTGTTATACGTATCCCTTCCTTATATTCATAGGAGCCTTACTAAAGGAAAAAAAGGGCGTCGCCAGCCGATGATCAAGGTTAGGACTCTCAGCTATCATTATTCGACTGTAGTCGGGAGGTAGCTACGGTCCCTGGCAACGGCGGATCCAGGGGGAGGTCATGGTCATGGATGTCATGACCCACTGAGCTGGTTGTTCAAGAGCTTGACAAAATTCATTTACATATTTTGTCAAGCTTAACCTCGACTATGTGGCCCCTCCCTGGCGCCAAAGCTGGATCCGCCCTTGCTCCCTGGCGACCCCTGTGACGAAATATCATGAACCTGCAACTTTTTTCAATCGTAAAGATGAACATACAACTTGTTCTTACAATTATTTTATACCAACAGTAATATTACCAAATAATTCAAGTTAAAACATATCACATAAGAAAATTCATTTTCCTTAAATTGTTTAAACTATCGTGAGACATTACTTTAAGCGAAAATTAATTAAAAACGGCTCAACTCACGCT